TATCTATCTATCTATCTATCTATCTATCTATCTATCTATCTATCTATCATCTATCCATTTAATCATTTCTTATTATCTTGATCTTTTATCTTTTCTAACCAACCATAAAACTTATCCCATACTTTGTAATAATCTGATTCATCAGTTTGTAATTCTTTTGTCAATTTGTCCATTTCTGCACACATCCAAATTTTCCTAATTATTTCTATTTCACTTGGAGTTTCTTTACATTTCCACTGTTGTGCATAAGCCAATCTCGCAGCTGTGATTATATGAATTATTAAATATATAATATCCTTGTCATATTTTCCCACGTTAATTCCTAACAAAAAAAAAATTCAGGTCTATATTCTATTTTGATTATACATATTTGTTCTAACCATTTCTGAATTTTCTGCCCGGAACTTTTGGGCTTCTTTGCAATTCCACCATAAATGAAAATCCACAAATCTTAAAGTGGCCAAGTTTGGGGGACCCCTGGTCTAAGGGAACTAGGTATATCTAACTCTAGCCCAGGGGTCTTTAAACTTGACAGCTTGAAGACTTGTGGACTTCAACTCCCACAATTCCTCCTCCAGTCATGTTAGCTCAGGAATTCTGGGAGTTGAAGTCCACAAGTCTTAAAGTGGCCAAGTTTGAAGACCCTTGGCTCTAGTCTAAGAAAGAGAAGGATTAGGAGGGAATTGAGAGCAGTCTTCCAGTACTTAGGGGCTGTCGTAGAGAATGACAGAATAGCAGAGGGACCTTGGAGGTCCTCTAGTCCACCCCACTGCTCAAGCAGCAAAACCCATAACATTTCAAACAAATGATTATCTAATCTCTTCTATTTTTTTTTAAGAAAAACCTCGTGACTGAGCACCCTTGTTCCAAAGCGTTTGGAAGGCAGGTGGTGTGTGTGTTTTTGTGTGTGTGTGTGTGTGTGTGTGTGTGTGTGTGTGAACCTATTCTCCAAAGCATTGAAGGCAGGAGAAAAAGCCCGTGGTACTTTTCCAATGTGCTTTTAACAGCCGGAAGGTCATTCAACTCTCCAAGGTTTCAGGACGTCCTCTTCCAAATTGAAACCGCCATTCAACAATTCGCGCACGGTCCTTCAACAATTTGCGCACGGGCTTTTTTTTCTGGAGATCGGTGTGTGTGTGTGTGTGTGTGTGTAAGCTGTGTAAAGGTCAAAAAAGTCAAGATGGATGAACCTGCGCAGAGGTCAAAGAAGTCGAGTTGTGCCTGAGTGATCAAAGATGCACATTTTGCATCAGAATCCAAATGTAAGAAGGGGCTTTATTCAATCCTACAATCAGAATGGAGCTGGAAGGGACCTTGGAGGTCTTCTAGTCCAGCCCCCTGCTCAAGCAGCAGACCCTAACCCATTCCAGACAGATGGCTGTCCAATCTCTTCTTGAAAACCTCCAGTGTTGAAGCAACCACGACTTCTTCTGGCAAGCAGTTCCACGGGTTAGTTGTTTCTCACTGTCAGGGAATTAATTCCTCTTTAATTCCAGGTTGCTTCTCTCCTGGATTAGTGTGATGACCCGGGGCGTGACACAAAAATAACCAAGGCACAAAAATAGAATAAAGTTCCTTTAATGCCTCCAACTTGGCTCCAATGTCTAATTATCCTCGGCTGGAAATCAAACTCTTAAAGAAAACAGTTTAGGGAGGGAGTAAATCCAGTCCGCGCCCAAAGTAAAGTTAATTAGAAATAACAAAACCCAACACAAACCACACTGAAGAAATTACTACGGCAGGCAAGGATAATTACTTTCAGACTTCTACCAGATAGCGTAGCCACCACAGTTGGGAGGAAGCCAAAACACAGATAAGCTCCCACAAGAATATTTCACGCTTTGCTTCCAGCACTTGGCCATGCGCAGTTTGTCCTTTTAAACAGTCCTCCCAGAGGCAGTCCATGAAGGGGATCAGGGCCCCTTCCTCCCCCGTAGACCACGCCATTCCTGTTTCTCCCTTATCTGTTTCTCCCTGCGTGCCCTAGGATGAAGAGGGGATGGGCCTGGGTCTTCCTCTGAATGCCCAGCCCGGCCTGTGCCCTTCCCCAGCCTCCTCCACAACATCCGGAGCCACACTTTCACTCCCTGTCAGCTGTTCCTCCTCTCCTTCGGAGTCAGACTCCAACAGGGTAGTTTCCATCCGTTGGTTCTTGTCTTGGCTTTGGGTGCTTTGGAGAATAAGTTCACCCCCCTCTTCTTTGGGGCAGCCCCTCAAATACTGGAAGACTGGTCTCACGTCCCTCCTTTTCTCTAGACTAGCCAAACCCCAAATCCTGCAACGGTTCTTCGTATGTTTTAGTCTCCAGACCTTTGATCGTCTTGGTTGCTCTTCTCTGCCCTTTTCCCCAATTCTCAACATCTTTTTTCTACTGTGGTGACCAGCACTGAATGCAGGATTCCAGGTGTGGCCTTACTAAGGCTTTACAAAGCGGTACTAATACTAACACTTCACATGATTTTGATTCTAGGCCCCTGTTTATGCAACCAAGGGTCGCATCGGCTTTTTTGGTTGCTGCCACACATGGCTGGCTCATATTTAAGGGATTGTCCCCTGGGATCCCAAGGTCCCACTCACAGTGACTGTTATTGAGCCAGGTTTCGCTGAATCTGTATTTGTGCCTTTAGTTTTTCCTGCCTAAATGTAAAACCTTACTTTTGTCCACATTAGAATAGAATAGAAATAGGAATGGAATGGAATGGAATGGAATGGAATAGAATAGAATAGAATAGAATAGAATAGAATAGAATAGAAAATGAATAGAATAGAGTAGAGTAGAGTAGAATAATAGAATAGAACAGAACAGAACAGAACAGAATAGAATAGAATAGAATAGAATAGAATAGAATAGAATAGAATAGAATATTGGGATGAAGAATAGAACAGAACAGAACAGAACAGAAAATAGAATAGAATAGAATAGAATAGAATAGAATAGAATAGAATTCTTTATTGGCCAAGTGTGATTGGACACACAAGGAATTTGTCTTTGGTGCAAATGCTCTCAGTGTCCATGAAAGAAATGATACATTCATCAAGAGTCAAGAATCTCCAGGTGCAACACTTAATAATAATAGTCATAGGGTACAACATGCAATCAAATCATACTAGGAAACAATCAAATAGGATATTGGAATAAAGAATAGAACAGAACAGAACAGAATAGAATAGAATAGAATAGAATAGAATAGAATAGAATAGAATAG